CCTGAGAAGATGGCCTCTGTGACATCATCAAGAACAAAGAGTAGAAAAGAGCTCTTTGCTCTTTCTAAGATAGAGCTGGACTGGTCTGAAGTGAATTTGTAATTACCATATTTACTTGTGTGCGTGATGATCTTAGTATGTGAAACTTTGTGCATAATACAAACGTCCAACATGACAATATAAAAATACTGAAAACCATAATAGGTTCCATTTATAAATATTAGCATTTATTAAATGTTGTTCTGCACTTATAAACAAAAATCCTGCCTGCCATAAATGGCAATAAGAGCCACATTTTCAGAAAGTCTCTCCTCTAAAGCATTTATGGTGCTTTCCTCTGGACTGTTCTCAGTCAAAAGACCTGCGTCAAGAATGAAAAAACAGAGGTCAGTCACCTACTTTCACATCTGGCTAATTGGTCCATGGCTTGGATGTGACTGTTGGGTTATTTGTTTCTTAAAGCTGCAATCTAAAAAAAAAGTCTCACTCAGCTGCAGACAATAAAGAGGAAACAGCTGGACACCACTATAATTACAAGAAAACAAATGACTCCAAATGATTAATTTCAATTTTTTTAAGAATTAAAAACAGCAAGTGTGGCCTGTAAGATAACATGACCCTTGAGACGCCTTTTTCCTGTGCAGGCATTATGGTTTGAGCACACTAAACCGTTCAGAGACAAGGATTTCTGAAGCCAAATGCATCTGTGGCTCCTCACGGACAAGAGTGCTATAAATGTAATCCAACTCACACAACTCCCAAATTTTTAAATAATCATCAGGACAAATGTGGAAAAGACAGCTCAGAGGCGAAACGTTAGAGAATAATATAAGCAAAACCTGGTAGCAAATCATCAGGTGGCCCTCACTGAACTGCAAACCAGGTGTTGGAAACTGTAACTATTTCCTCTTTTTTAATTTCACTTCATTTAATTTCATATGCAGCGCCACTTCACAACAGTCGTCTTCAGGTGCTTAATACAATAAATAAAGATCTTTCAATATTTGAGAAAAACGAAAACAATCTCGTAATCCACTATGAGCAAGCACTTGGTGGTAGTGGGAAGACAGAACCTTGTTTATAAACAGGAAGACACCTCAAACAGAGGCATATAAACACATGGGAAGTGAAAAGAAGGGAGTGGAGAAAAGTGTTGATTACATCACGGGAAGTCCCCCAGCTTGCTGAGTCTATTTCAGCATCGCTAAAAGTTGGTTCAGGGTCACCTGGTTCAGCCTTAAATACAAGTTTTATCAAAAGGGAAGTTTTAAGCCTGATCTTAAAAGTAAAAATGGTGTCTATCTTCCAAATCCAGACTCGGTGCTGGTTCCACAGGATCTGCCTCCCATCCTACTTTTCAATTCTCTAGGAACCACAAGTAAGCCTGCAGTCTGGTAGCGATTATGCAGCGATTATGTTAATATTATTACTATACTATACTATCACACTATTACTATGAGTTCTCTAAGATATGATGGGATCTGATTGTGAGAAAGAGATTTTTAAATTCAATTGTGGGTTTAATAAGGAGCCAATGAAAATGAGCTAATATGAGAAAAAAATATGATATATCTTTTCTTTAGTACTCTCACTTACATGTTTTTGATCAACTGAAGGCTCTTCAGTGAGCTGTTAAGGCAGCCTGACAATAAAGAATTACAAGAGTCCACCCTAAAAGTAACAAATGCACTTATTTTTCTGCATCATTTTAATTTAATGCTGTTTTAACAATAATGTGCAGATGATAGAAGGTATTAGGGCTGGGCCATATCATACCGTTCACGGTAACACCGGTATAATGTTAGGCAATGATAAGAAAATGAAATATCGCGATAGAATATGGGTAAAACGAGTGCGCAGTGCCTTTGTTTTCATACACACATGGTGGAAAAAGCATGAGAATTAGAAGGGCGAAAGCGGATCGTTGATTGAAACAGATAAACCCGAATTGGTTTGTAAAAATGGTGCCAGCTTCAGTGGTGTGGAACTGGTTTGGTTTTTGTCTGTCAGATACACACCAAAGCACAATTTTTGGTAGAACATCTAAGCAGCCAAAAAACCTGGCCACACACTGGGCATCCGGGTTAACGCGGTTATGGCTTTAATGTCATTTTAACAAGATTAACGCTGACAGCACTAGTTTTAATACGACTTTGATAAGCTACAAAGCCGCATGGCTTGATTCATTGTCGGTGTCACGGTCTGCGGAGGCAGACCGTGCGGAAATGTGTGTGGTGGACCCAGGAGCGAACACAAGCGAGGATGCAGGAGTGGAGTTAAACAAAAGCGAGCCTTTTATTCTGGCTGATGAAAGGAACAAAACAGAGTGAGGGCAGCATAAGAGTAATAGTTCAAACAGAAACCTAAACTGGACATAAACTAAGGAAAAGCTATGGCTGGAGATACGGAACACAGGGGGTGGTAACACAGACGACGCGACACAGACTACATGAAACACAGAGACTAAATACACAAGAGGGATGATCAGGGGAAGTGGCCACACATGGGAACACAGCTGACACAGATAAACATAACAAGACATGGCAGGAGTAAACAACACTGACGGGAGACTGTCAAAGTAAAACAGGAAGTACACAGGTGCAAACAGGAGGAGAGAGAGAGCGCGGGCATAGTGGGCTGGGGAAACATGGAATGAAACAAGGAGGGGAGATGAGGGCTCACAGATACATAGAGGGGCACACAGGGGATAAAAGTCACAAGGGGAAGTCAAATAAGGAACAACACAACAGGACAACTTAGGAAACATGGCCTAAATAAGGAACGAAATACAAAAATATAAGAAACTAAGAATACTGGGCCCACATGGCCCAGGACCATGACAGTCGGAGCATTACGGATACCATTTCAGGAGCCTTGCGGAGTGATAGGTACTGTGCTTCAACATATGGATATGTCGGCCAATTTCCACTGGAAATTATTTTTGGTTAAAACGTCAGCAAGGAATTTGCATTTGCGCTGTTAAAATTTTATACAGCTTTAATGCACATAAAAAATAACTGCTTGTTTAATTGAAAATATATTGATGGGTTTTTTTTGCACTAATAAAGTTGTGAAGTGTGTAAAGCCTGTAAAGTATTTTGTCTCGCGTCAATTATATCATTATCGCAAATGTTCAAATATATATTGTGATAAATATTTTTGGCCATATTGTCCTGCTCTAGAAGGTATTCCTAGATATTTGTTTAATATGCAAGTTAAAGGACCTACACTGCTCCAAACTCACTCCAAGGTTCCTCACAGTGTCAGTGGAGGCTAAGGTAAAGCCTTGAGAGTAAATACCTCGTTACACAGTGCGATTCTCAGATTTTTAGAGACAACTTGCTACAAGTCAGTTTTGGCAGAAGTGATGAATAAACAGACACAAGTACGTTTTCTGCAAAGACTCCATTCGTGTTAAACTGGCTGATGACCAGTTTAGCTCTTATTGTCATCTCCCAGTAAAGTCACATTAAAGTCACAGCTTGTAGCTCCGCCCCGGCAGACTGCCGCGTCTTCAACACACAACAAACCTCCACTATGCACGGAGGCAGCAGCTTCAAGTGAGCCGAACGCTGCTTCGACAGGAAATTACGTAGCACTACAAATAAAAAGCCCCAACAAAGTAAACCTTTAAAAACACATTTTGACTCAGGTCTACTTATCAATGCATTTCAAATGCAACTTTTCAAGATAATTTCTTGTATATAAAATAAGGGATTGTGCAAGATGTTAAGGACAAAAATAAAGTGAGTTATTTTATTTGTTTGCTTACAAAATAAAAATGAATTGCCGCCACTGGAACTTTGGTAAAAGTATAATGGTTTAATAAACTTCACACAGAGGCAAAATATCCATTTATCACATTTAGCCAAGAAGACTAATTTTCACTTGGAGTCCCCAGCCAGGAAAGAGTTTTATTAGAATAAAATAGCAAAAAAAACAAACAAAACAAAACAAAAAAAACCCCCAAAATAAATTTATAAAAGTTATCCCAAACAAATAAATGTCGTTGCTGTTGTTGTCAGATCATGTGACCTAATTGATTGTTCAATAGGAAACATTTAAAAAAAAAATGACAAAGGATGAACTGAAGCTCTGCCATCACGTAATGTCGCATACTGCTGTTTCTGATGTCATTTAAAAAAAAAAAAAAAAAAAAAAAAAAAAAGAAAACATTTTAAGGCAACATATTCATATTTGGAGGTAATAAATTCCAGGCAAGAACTGCTTGAGATGAGAGTGCTGATTGGCAAAAAAATTGGTATCCATAATAATATGCAACAATTAGCGGTTAAAACTGACCACATGAGTCAATCTGTAGATGCAGTCACAAACTCCTAAAGTACTGATGGAGCGCTCTATTTAAAATTTTACTATCTAAGAGAAGTCATCTTAAATTAAAAGTAATTTCATCTCAAATTACCAGTTCACAAACTAGTTCAGTGGGCTTCAGGTGCTTGCTGGCGTGTGGTTAGGCAATTAGTAATATGAGAAGAGATTGTATGCTATTATCCTCCATGTACAATATTTTTGTATTTCAAATGCATTTTGTTTTAAAGTCTCATTTCCACACAGGAACAGGCAGGTAATTTTAATCAAGTAAAGCTGCGCAGAGCTGAAAAACTTACCTTGCTTTAATGTATAAATTTCCTGTAAAATAAGAAACAAAAAGTGCCTTTTAGAATTTATTAAATATACTGTTTAACGTTACATGTATAGATTTCAATGGGAACTGGAAATGTCCATCTCAAAATTTTGAGCACATGTTCCCCAGCCAGTAAAAACATGAAAGAAGCAAATAAGAAAACAGCAAGTGCTTTGTGAGTTTGGTCCTTTTTAAATTATAACTCGCCGAAACGTGAAAACGCAATTTCGAAATGACAGAAAAATTAAAACTAATAAAAAAAACTACAGTGACTGAAATTTTAGATTGATGGCTTTTATTGTGAAACTCTTGACGGGATGTGGGCGCTGTCACTTCGGCTACCTTGATGCGCAGTTCGCGGACGCGCTCATTCACTTCAGGTTAGGACTCCCACTGGAGTAAGGAGAGAAGGACGGGGCAGCGTCTGTCGTTAAAACTCGCAGGAGGAAAACGTAAATCACTCGGATACACTCCTGGAAACAACGACTTTCAGAACGTTAAACCTGAGCAGCACATCAGCTGAAAGCCGCGTCGGTTTATTTTTGGGCCAACGGATTGATCCCGGACTGTGTGCGCGCGCGTGTTTTCCTTTGGATGCACATACACACACAAACACGCGCGCGCAGTCACACAGGTTGCTAGCGGAGTTAGCCGGGTTTGCTAGCTCGCTGTGGTTAGCTGGGCTTTCCGTCCGCAGGGAGTGAACGCAGAGCGGGGTTAAAGTTTAGAAACAGTGCCCGACATTTTCCAGACAGAAGGCTGCTGGTTCAGGCATGATGTGTGGGTTTTTCGGAGGTTTGTCAAGTTGGCCGGCTGGTAGCATTGGCTGACTGAAGCCCAGCATTAGTACCTCGGATTGGACTCATGTGTGTTCCCCGCTTCTTCCTTTTCCACTGCTGTTTTTAAACAGTTTTTTTTTTTTTAAAAAGCGGACTTTGCCCTCGGGGTGTTGTAACTCCGCTCCCTATATTAAATAAAAGCCTCAATTGATTCTTCTTTTGGAGTTTCTCAACACTTTGCTGGAAGTTTTTATTTCTTTCTCTTCAAGGAGGAGGTAAAAAAAGTTGTTGTGAAGTTGAGAAGGATTTTTCCAAGCCTGTGGAAAAAATGGATGCGGGAATAGAGAAAGAATGCAGCGCCTTGGGAGGGCTCTTCCAGCTCATCATGAACGACATGAAGGTAAAAAAAAACGGACATACAAGTCATTTCATTACATGTCGCTACATCTTTTTTTTAAATCAAGCTGTTTTTTCCCCTTTATTTTTTGCATACTTATCCCAATATATTGGGTTACCTGTAATATCAGACTTCAAAAGTCATATCTGCTTCATATTAAGTAACTTCATGGCAGCAGCCTGTAATATTGTAAGCCTGTTATAATATTGTATTGAAGATTTGACCCTTGCAATGCTGATTTGGCAGTTCTATTTATTCTCCGTGAGACTTACACTTAAAAAAAAAAAAAAATATATATTTAAAAAAAAAAAAAAAATATATATACCGGTATGTATATGTATATGTGTATGTATATATATATATATATATATATATATATATATATATATATATATATATATATATATATATATATATATATATATTATGACTGTCATGAACTATTTGATTTGGACAGATTTGGACATAACATCTAAAAAATGCATAAACAAAGTGGAATTTAAAATATAGAGTCTCAGGAAAGCACGAGTAAGCTTGAAATTTAGGTTATTAAAGGCTTGACATGGGATTTCTGGATGTGCAGTGCTGCTGATGTTGATTAGGTAATGAATGAGCAGAGGTTAAAACTGGAAGTGGGCCATCTGAGAGGGTAAGAGAGCTGGATGGGGGTGGATTTTACCAGCTGTGCACCCTTTGATGTTTGTCAAGCACTCTGCCCTTTTGCTGCCTGTCTGTCTGAGTTCCACTGCTCTCAGATGTTCATAGTTAGCAGCTTCTCTTTTCCAATCTCATCTCTTTTTTTTCTTCCCCCCCTTGGTCCAGAATAGGCAGCAAATGGCTCTGGTTCTACTGGCCTTTCACGTACTGGCACTGGCATGGGCATGGGTGATTTTTACTGATCAGGTTTAGCCATTTGTTGACATTTTGGAATCAGTTAATCAGACTTTGGGAGTTTTTAAATTTTACTTTTCACTGTGGATTTCCTTTAAACTCAGCTTATAAAAATAGATGCATAAATATGATCTGAAGTAAACTCAGCCTGCTGTGCTTGTTTGGGCTTTTAGGTCATGCCAAAATGAAGGTAATGTATGCAATGCATTAAAAACATAGGATAATACCATTGTGCTATGTTTAAGAAAAAAAAGGTGTCCGGTCCGATTGGTGTGCCAAAATGTCTATATTTGGGTAAGGTTGGGTTGAGTACAGTGGGTCGTCTACCAATGGGAAGGTCAGCTGATCGATTCCTAGCTCTTCCTGTAGAAAGGAGTACCATTATATAAGTACCAGTCTGTTTACCAAATCACCAAGATTTTTCTAACTTTTTTTAAGTGACCTTTAATTTACAGAAAAATCCATAGCTTACTGTTAAGTAAGGTAACTTTGGCAGTCTTCTAGAGCAGTTTATGTTTCTCATTTACATTTTTACCATAGAATTACAGATTAAAAGATGGAACTGTATACTGGGAGGCATATTGAGCCATGTTGTTGGACCAGGAGGTGACCATGAAGGGAGTAATGGATGTATATTCAGTCCTGTTCTTGGTTTTTATAGGGATGATCTCTGTACTTTTGAGCATGGCTGTGTACTTGAGTGTACCTGTTATTAATTATTTATTTTTAAGCCCAAATGTCCTTGTTCTTGATATATTTCTTCAATAACAACTTTTTTTTTTCTTTGTCAGTATTTGCTATTATGTATTGTCAGAGGGGGTGGTAAGAAGTAAGATTAATAGGTTAGCAAGGTATTCTAAAGCTTAAAGTCAGAGTTTTCTGTGTCATGGAAGTTGCTCTCTCCTTACCTGGCTAAATCACCATCATAACTTCTGCTGAACATATAACCAGAGCAGGTTATGTTCAGTCTGGTTTGAAATCGCATGCAAGCTCCAGGTTTTCACTGTTTCCTTTATTCATAGCACGTTTTGTGTGCAATATAGATTGTTTGTTGGGGAAATGTTAAAATGTGCAGCCTGATGAATAAAGACTGCTTTGTATTCTCACTGTGATGTGCAGGATTCAGCTGGTGATGCAAAAATGTGTACATATTTTAATACTTCATTCTGCAGGTGCTAGAACACAGAACAAACAGCAAGAATACCAAGTCAGTCGGTCAAATTAATTAATTGTCTACTTTATTATTCTATGGGACAGTAACATTTAATGTTTAAATGTGTCTGGTTAATGTACCGGAACTCTAATGCGCCACCATCTTGTTAAAAGCACATACTCAGCCATAAAATAATAATGAAAACTGAAACGTTTTACTAGAGTATTGATTTTCTCCAGTAGCTTGTCTTATTTGTAACAGCGTTGCATTTTATTGTTATACATTTTTATGTTTCTTATAGGTCATCATTATGTAGATAATATTGTGGTAGGTGGCACTCATAGGGATCATTTTGTTATATGACATGTGAGCGCGCACAGAGCCTGAAGCAGATGCTTAACAGAGGAAGTTGAAAACCACCGTTGTGTTACCTGCCATCTCCAATTGGGGGTTTTAGCTTTTGTCAAGCCTGGTAATGCAAAAGAAGGTTGTTTGTGTTGAACTTGCTTCACTGTATCTTTATGCATGCTCAATCATCCAGATAACTCATCCAAGTGACTTCTTCGCTACGTGCAGATGAACAGAAGCAACTTGTTGGGATTCCTTCATTGTACACTTTTCTGGTGTCCTGTTACGAAAACAACCTACAGCAGATGATTCAGTCTTCAGAAATACAGCGATATTGTGTAACAATGGATCTTCGGGTGACTCACGGAAGCTATAGCAGCTCTACTTTGAGCTGTTTTTATTTTTCTCAACATTGTAATGCACATTCTTGGACTGAATAATACACCGCTGATTGAAGCAGACCTTCATCTCTAATAGAGGGGTCATGTTGCTGTAGTGAGTGAGTGTTTGTTGTCTGTTACTGGATCTCTGTGTGATGAAGAGTCTGAGGAAAATTAGTTAAACGTTTTGCGCGTAACATGATGGAACTTGCAGACGTCCTGTGGTGAGAACAGCAAGCAGTACACATGAGTCACTTCTGCTGTCAGATAACAAGGAAGAGGAATGGTTATGATCGAGTGTATGTGCGTGTGTGGCATCATATCCTGGTTCACCAACATGGCACAGACCCAATAGGGGCACTGCTACCATCTGACACACACACACACACACACACACACACACACACACACACACACACACACACACACACACACACACAGAGTCATGTCTAATTAAGTAGAGTCTCTCTTCAGATAAATCTCTCCTCCGGGCATCATAACGTGCCTGTGAAGATTTCACACTTCTGAATTAACCAATAGGCAGGGAGGCACAGATGCTTTTAGCAGATTGTAGGTCATTTTGTGATGCACTGATCCAACTTCTTCCAGTTCTGTTACTAAGTACTGATCCAGTACCGGTGTTAATAGTCAGGATTATCCCTATGTAGATTATGCTTTTCATCAGACTTTAAGGAAGAACATGAGAATATTATTTCCTGTGTAAGAGAATAAATCAGGAACTAGCAGGACCAGGATGGATTAAATAAAAACAAATATAACCGCGTATTTACATTATTTACCTAATTTATTTACACTAGTGTCAATTCAGCTCTGTGTGAGAGTTTTATACTGGATGCTGTTGTCATTTAATGTTAGCACATCTCACTTATGTGTTTAGACGAAACTTCTCTCCCTCTTCGGCACTTGTACAAATGGGACTTAAGAGTTGATTGGTGCAGTAGTAGTCCTGCATTTCCTCTCCCCATTGGACGGCTAGGAAAAAAAGTGACAGTGCTTCAACTCATGGTGGCCAGGAAAAAAATTACATAATGGAAAGGAGAAACCAGTTCAGTTAATCTAGTTACAGTCTGGATTATTAAGTAGATATTAATGGTAAATATAACTTCATTTTTTCCCCCCATGGACTCCTCAGAAAAAGGTGATGGGTGTGTCATGACATAGCCCAGCAGAGTGAATCATAATAGCACCAACAGCCCTCTTTTCTTCCAGGCTATTGTCCACACATGTCCTGATGTGGTTATGCGTTGCTCCAGTGGAGTGGTTATTCTTACACTTATTCTTCTTTCTTACAGCAAAAATCTTAAACACAATTATTTTGCGAAATATTGGGTTATGGATTATTTGATTGATATTAATTACTCACTGACTTTGGAGAAATTGTGGATTGATTGAACTCTTCATTGCATTTAAGTGGATTTCCTTGAAGTTTATTTATAATTTTTATGAAAACGAGAAAATAAATGAATATAAGCTTAATTAAATTTGTCTGCCAGGGCGTTAACTTTGACCTCCACAGAATAGCAAAAGCAAAGGAAAGGGTGTCATGAAAGTTAGAGTTAAAAAATTGCACAGCACAAACTTGCATACAGCAATTTAATTTCTATATTTAAATACAGCTTAACTGTGCTAGGTAGTGGCATTGTTATCTGCTTTACATTTGGCCATCATCGTTTAAAATTAAGAGAGAGAGAGCAAGGGCTGCAGCATTGGAAGCTTTGACTAACATGCACACCCACACCCAGGACCGGATGTTGCCTAATTTAAATGGACTATGGATTGCAGTGAAATATGTGGTTGATGTTTCACCATCATCTCAAAAATGTGTTGGATTGTGCGTTTTCCCCACATTATTACAATGCTGAATCAAGCATAATGAACTTTTAGATCCGAATGCTCCTTCAGTTCCCATTGGTAAACGAACACCGAGACGCTGCTGAGAGTTAAAGTGTCTTTCTCTCTCACCTCCAATAAAATAAACGGTGTATGTTCTTTAGGTGTTTAGGTGACATTAGGGCTGCCACAAACGATTATTTTGATAGTCGACTAGTCACCGATTATTTATGCGATTAGTCGACTAATCAGATCATCATCCATTGAACTTAAAACGTACAGCTTATTGCACCAGCAGCATCTGCTCTTATATAACTATCATTAGCTTACAGCTTTAAGCTTTTAGGGTGCTAACTAAAAATAAAGACAAGATGATAGTT